CAGGAAGAAGTCAGACGGCTCAGTGGGCCGGACATAGATCTATCTGAAGCTCTAGCGTCAGTCAAACTCCAAGTAAAAAATTCTATGAGAGAGAGACCAACTACTCTACCCTGAGGTGGCTAACAGCCCAAGGGCTATTATAGTTTCACATCACAAGAGAAGCCCATATACCTGGTGCTTCTTCCTATCGTTCTAGCCACCTAAAGGGGAACTTCAGGGCCCCAATAATCCAAAAATGTACCTTACCTTAGGACATTCACATGACCCCATATCTCTATACAGGGAACGAGGTCTGTAGAGAGATACATTTTAGTGTTAGTTGCACACAAAAATTTACTCTTAAAAAAAAGACCAGTCAGCTCACCTGCGGCGTGCGAAGTGAAGACTCACCAGACAGTTCTTTATGAACATGGGGTCTACCACCTTTACATGCCTGAAAAGAGGCACTCTAACTAACCAAGCTGAGGCGGGCCAACAGAACATTGTTCTAACCATGAGCCCAGCCTCAGGCCTGATGTCAGAAGCACCTGGGGAGTCGGGGAAGAGAGGAAAGGGCAAAGATATAATCACGCCCTCAGGGAAGATGATCCATGACCGACGCAATGTGCGTTTGTGCTGGATCACCTCCCTCAGATCCCTCTTCTTGCGGGAGTCGCGCCTCCTCTGCGACCTACTCCTCCACGGAGGAGGCGCACGAGAGGTGACACTGGCCCTCTGGCCCTATCTAAGGTCCTCGGACCATGATAGGCCAGGCCCTCCCATCTGTCTGGGCCTGGACACGGATCTCAGCGGTATGTATGTCCTGGATACAGCTGAGCGCGCCTTCGCCTCTCTGAACTTTCCAACCACCGCCACCACGGAGGTGCCGAAAAGCTCAGAGGGTGAAACCAGCGAATCGAGGAGAAAGCCTTTCTCTTTCTCCCCGATGTCGGCCAGGTTCAACCACAAATGTCTCTCCGTAGCCACTATCGTCGTCATCGACCGGCAGATTGCGGCAGCAGTCTGTTTGGTGGCCCGGAGAGCTACTTTTTTCATTTGCGGCGCAGCTCAGTAAGCGCCTCAGGGGCCCCACCCCCTGGTCGAGATCCCCCAGCAGATCGGCCTGGTATACCTGCAACACCGCCATGATGTGCAGGCTAGCACCGGCCTGACCCGCTGACGTGTATGCTCTGCCATTCAACTGGCAGGGTTGGAGCTCGCAGTGTCGATTGTCCCATCGATGCATACCCACGTTCTCCTATCCTCTCAACATCAGCGAGACTAGCCCGCTGATGTTGGTGGATACAGGCAGAGTATGGGTTCTTCCATATCCTCTCAATCTCAGTATGAGATCGGGAAGAAATGAAAGGCTCACCTGAGCTGGTGGTTCTATGACCAGGGAAAAACCGCTCTCATCGCGAGCGATTTCTCCCCCAACGAGCAGCCACGTTAGCTGCAGCCTGCCCGCGGCGCGTTCCATAACACCAACCAGCTCAGCATACACGGGGCAGGGTGGCTGAGAAGATACAGGATATATCCTATTATCACCACCCTCATCAGCCATCTCCTGTTTGTCCGGGAGAGCGCTCGCTGCCGGACTAAGTTTTCCTTTTTTTTTTTTTTTTTTTTTTTTACTTCATCCATTTGCAGCTTACCCTCGTCAGCCGCCACATCGTCTGAGAGGATTACACCCCTCTCAAGGCGATCGGCGGGCTTCATCTGGGAACCTGACATCCAGACGCTGAACCATCTTCTCTCGAGAAGAGGGACAGGCGAGAGCGGAGCGTTCACAAAGAAAAATTCTCACAATTTGTACAGGCAGTTCCCTCGAGAACTGCCTGTGCGCGCTCTTCCTTCCCAGACAGAAAAATGCACAGTTCGTGTGTGTCACCCAGCTTCAGATATGTTGAGCACGGGTCTGCACACTTCTGAAAGCATTTCATAATTACCTGATTTTTTAAAGCGGTTACAGACAAAACAGTCCCTGAAGACGAAAAAGATATTGTCATGTTATACTTCCAGGTCGCATGTTAATCATTCACATTAATGATTCACGGGCTGTCGCCGGTCATTGGCCCTCATTTATCATTCTTGCGTAGAAACGGGCGTATATGTTGGCGTAAGATTATGCTTACACTCCTCTCACCGCCTGATTTATGAAGCTGTGCGTACCTTTGAAATCCAGGTGTATGCAATACCTGCCCTTGATAAATCCCGCGGCTGAAAACGATCGTCATTAGAATAACACGCCCCTATATATTCAAGTCTCCGCTTCCCCCACGCCCTCATTTTACGCCATGGACACACGGAAGACGGCAAAGAAGAGAAACTTCTCTGACGTGGAGCCAAAATGACCTATCACAATGCAATATTTTACAGCACGTCTTTTGAATTAGCATTCAATTTCGAATCACGTTACATGTCTTGGGGTGTACAATAGTGATGATGTGATGTGGGGTACCATTCATTCACATTAATAATTGCATGACAATTTGTAATATTCTTCTTATTAGGCTATTAGTATGATTTGTATTATTAATTACGCTTATAATAATAATGACATTCTTCTTCTAAATAACAATTTGTATTATTATTATTATTTAAAAGAAGAAGAATGTATTTTTTATTATTTTGTCAGTCTGAATGATTTTTTGGTCATTGAAAGCCTTTCGTTACCGAACCCAGTCCGTGCGCACCTGCCGGGCCAAACCCTGAAACGTCAGGGTAAAGCGCACAGGCTCGCAACTGAAGGAATACATATGCTTACAAATCAAATGCTTTGGTAAAGTCACACAAATTAAACATTGAAGTCCATGTTGCACAAAAATAAACACTGAAGTTAATAATTACTATGTTGTTGTTTTTTTATTTTACAGTGGGTCGTAATATATTATATCTTTTAGTTTGTCAGTGCATTTTGTGGTGTTAGGAATTGTTTTTCTGCGCATTTCCGCACTAACTCAAAACGTGCGTACACCACCTCCTGAGCTGGCGTAGAATTTGAGCGTGCCGTACGCCAACGTCCATATTGATAAATCTCAAAGTCACCGTGGTTTTGGGTGTACGCTGGAAATTTGGTGTACGCACTTTTGATAAATGAGGGCCAATGTGATTGACGTGATTTGATTGTGATTTCAGACACCTGTCACGCCTGAGGCGTTCCCTAAAGTGTCATTCGACGCAGTGCGAGTTCCTTTTCAAAAGGGAACTGTTATGGTTAAGTGTGTGTGTGTGTTGTTCAGATATGTTTTAATATTTTTAGGCTCCACTAGTTGATGTTTTGTTTTAACATAGTTTTATAAGGCTAATAAAAAGCTATCCAAATGTGTTTGTCATTTTGATGTGCTAGCATTACTTTATTATATGGTTTGTATAATTTTGTGTAATAATGTTTGTGTAATTTTTTTCACAATTTCTACAAGCTGTAACAGAATGTTTGTGCGGGAGGGAGTAGATACAAACATTGCAAGTTTACATGTGCAAACGTTAAAAATTTTAACTCAACTGACCTTTTAATAAACGTAATGTCTACAATAGTAACCTAGACGTTCCCTTTCAGTCAGTCGCGTTCAACGGTGCATCCCATCTGAACTGACAAATTAGGATCCCTACCAAAGCGCCACTATTGCTGCCCCTTCCAGGACAAACACAGCTGTTCCTTCTGACCTGTACAGTGGACTATTGGATAACACTGGGAAAGTGTGCCTATTCCAAGAGGAAAGGAACACTATGGGTTCACACCCTGCCAGTAGGGAGGTAACATGTGGAGATTACACATATGGACTGACCATTAGGGCATTGCTACATACGGAAGGTCACTGGGGTAGATTCAGCCTCTCTGGGGTGAAGTCAATACCAGCAGAGATGGCAGAGCGGGCTTACGAGTGTTAGGCCTGGCGTTAGACGTCTCCACCGCATCTGACAGGGTTTACCAGCTGGGGAACTCCTGAGGAGCAAGATAAGCGCACATATGTGGTCCTAAGAAGGGGAATGGCGCAGCAAGCGAGACACAGAGCGTGGACCTCCCGACTACTGGCGGCGAGTAGATGGGAGGACACTGGCTCTAGATGGGAGGACACTGGCTCTAGCCAGGTTCACCACCTGGTCCTAGAAGGGAGTGGTGGGAAACTTAGGCACATATCCGGGCCGGGGTTTTAGGATTACGTGAGAGTTGGCCTGCCCAAATTTCAGGCATGTTTCGCTGACTGAAAATGCGCGTCAGTAAAGTCAAGTCAATAATATTGTTAAAATGTAAGTATCCCCAACTAAGCAAGCCAGAGGCAACAGTGGCAAGGAACCAAAACTCCATCAGGAGAAAAAAAATATTTTGGGAACCCAGGCTCAGTTGGTGGGCCAGTTCTCCTCTGGTCAATGAACGAAAACGGTTCATTAAGATTCAGGCTGAAAAGAAGCACGACACAGAGTAGGCATTTACGGGGACTTCTCAGTGAGAAAAACACCGCCCAATGAACAGGTTCCACTTCAGAGCATAAGCATGCCTTGTAGAGGGCACTCTCGCTGAAGTGATGGTGTCTACCACCGCTGGGGGTAGCTCACGATATCCTGGTAGCACTTCGGAGCATGCTCTTGATTGCCTCAGCCTGCTTCTAGTCTGTCGAGAACTGCTGGGCACACTCCTCGACAGCGTTGCCGAATGGTATGCCGAATGAGATGGGAGCATCTAGAAAGCGTGCTTTGCCGACATCTCGCACCCCTACAAGGTTTCGCCAGGGGGCACTTCTGAACCACCAAGGTGGACATTTTGTGGCCGAGGGCCTGCGCTGTGACTTAATCACAGTCAGTCATCACGCGTAGTTCCTGCATCAACCTCGGCTCAGAACTACCCTCGTGCATACGAGTGCTTTGCCTTAGTAGACTTGCAGGGTGACATGGCATGCAGGGCGGAGGTGGCTTTACCAACAGGAATGGGAGCTGTGAATGACCCCACCAGGTAGCAGTAGAGTTGGGTCCGAGTCCACCTTTGTCGAGTCCGAGTCAAGTCCAAGTCCTTAACAATCGAGTCCGAGTCCAAGTCCGAGTCCAAAGAGGGCCGAGTCGGACTTGAGTCCGAGTCCTTAACATCCGAGTCCGAGTCGAGTCCGGCCGAGTCCACAAAGATTTAAATGATTTGAAATTGACCTTTCACAAAGATCCGCCCCTCTTAGTTACTGTTGCTACGTCCGATAAGCCATTCAGCTCTCACTTCACATGTTCTCACACAGTGAAAAATATATTGCGGAGCAAAGAGGACACTGACAATGCGCCAACATACAAGACAGAGCAGCCTACTTTTGGTATGAAATAAAAGTTAAATTATTTTAATACATTTAAACAAAAATTATTATTATGAAATTCAAACAATAAATACTGTTTTGTGGTGCTTTAATGTGTAGGCCTCAGTTCAAGCAGCACATTAACTGATAATCTCTTCTAGTTATAGCACGAATTAAACATGAATGAAAATCAGAACTGCAAAAAGAAATCAAAATTATTGCAATGTATAGCCACAGTGATACGTTTACCTATTGTACATCTTTCAGAATCTGCAATGTAATACTCAAGAATGCAACACGATGCATTAAGAGCCAGGGGGTACAATTTTTAGCAAGATGATGTGATGATTAAATTTTTCTAATATTGTTTTACATGCTAATATCTTTTTTAGCCTCTGAAGGGCAGGACTAAATTAATTAATTAATTTTTAAACAAAGTAAGAACAATTTACACCAATTTACATCGTTCAAAAGTTTACACCCCCTGGCTCTTAACAGATGCTTCCTTCTTGAGCATCACTAAATGTTTGCAGGGTTTGTAATAGTTGTGTGTGAGTCCCTCAGTTGTCACCAGTGCGAAAAGATGGATCTCACAATCATAGCCACTGCTAGTAAGGAGTCAAATATGAAGAAGATGCTGGAAAAGCAAAGAATGTGCAGGAGCTGGAGGATTTTTCCTCATGAACAACCATTACAAAAACAAAAAAACACACAAAAAAAAACAGTTGTGGATCATTCAGGTAATGACACACAATATAAAAATCAAGTAATTTGTCTTGTATTTTGTGTTTGTATTTTGTCTTGTGGACTAGGCTATTAAACATCTGTTCTGTCAGGTCCATAAAGTCAAGAACACACAGACAAAATAATTAAGAATTATTTGAATAGATTGCAAACAGGTTGATGTTCCTGAATTGAAATTTGGCGGTATGGCTCTGTTCAGGGAGTCCTCTGACCTTTCATGAGCACCATGAAATAGCAGAGAGTCAGAGGACAGCAGCAGCAGCATTAGGGAACGCTCACACAGTTTTAGACTGTGAGAGCTAGAATATCCCCCTGTGAACAGAGCAGGCAACATGACATAGCAAATGCCACGTTATGCATAAGGAGGAGCTGGGGAGGTGGCGGGCAGCAGAAGCGAGCAGCGAGCCAGCAGAGCGAGCAGCAAGCATGTATGAGCAGGGTGAATGAGCTTTAAATAGGGCGCCTTGTTTGAGCTTTGGCCATTGAACAGCGAGGGGAGTTAACCAGCTAATGCAGCTCAGCTGGAGCAGATCAGCTGACGGGACAGTGTTGATAGCAAATAGCATAAGCAGCTGCTTGACTACCTGGCCTGCCAGAACTGACGCTGACGCTCAATTTATGTGAAAAAGCTTTTTCAGTGCATGCAGTACTAAATAGAAACAATGTTTTTATGATCCTTTCTTATAAATAAATAAAAAATTACATTTTGGAGATTCTGAAAGGTGTATGTAAACTAAAGTGTAAATGTAACAAAAATCATAAAACTATTAGACGCCAAAATGTTGCTATGGTTACTATGTCAATCATCGCAATTTCATGACTCACATGACTAAAATTTTGCGGATTCACTCCCACATTTAAATGCATTTATCACTATTTATACTTTACTGTGTGAACGTAACCACTGGTCCTCTAGAAGCACGAAAAACAAAACTATTATTTAGATTGTCCATAGCGCTCCCTTTAAGCCATCACTCACTTACCGCGTTCTGCACTCTCCCTAAAACTCTCGTCATAAACACTGAAGTTGTCCGCACTGCACAGTGAATCTCTCATTTATATCGCGTCTAGACTTTGTTGATTATGAGGGGATTTGCGAAAGGATAAAGCTTGTGCTGATTCTGAACATACATTTTGAGCGAATTCTCCGCATGTTGACTAAAACGCCTCTGATTTGCCACTGTGCTCATGCGCTTAACTCTCTGGGGTCGGCGGTCTCGCCGGCGATACCAGCTCACTTTTTTCCTTATCAGTGCAAAAGAGACTCAAATTACTCTGTTAATTTTGATCTTACATATAAGTGTTGTACATCATTAGATCCTGTTAAGTTTCTATTTTTTTTGTGGATACTCACAATAAAAACAAAGTGTTGTGCTTTTCACCAAATAAAGAAAAACAAACATGATGCGAGTTTTGCGTTCTCTCTGTCAGTGAAGTCCATTCTGAAACGCGTCCTAAGATTAACTGTAACTCCGCGATTACTTGTCACACAGGCACGAGAGGTTTTTCTTTATGAAGCTTGAATTCTCTTCTTTTAAATGAAGTAATTTATATAAAAAACAAATATTCTCAGTTTATGCAATCTGTATGAAAAGAGAGTGCTGTCAGTATTTTTTCCCCCAGCTCATTACACTTCATTACGCGTTAATCTGACACGCCCACGGACGACGCGCGCTATTCAAACGCAAATGTCGAGGCAAGCCATGACAACGCCCACATCAGCTGTTCCACCGCGGCGGTAAAATGTGTGGTGTATTTGCTGCCTTTTACCGCTAAGAGGCGCTACAATCATAGACTCTGAAAAGTGTTCGTTTATTCCGGTTTATTCTCTCTAATGCGTAATCTGCTGCCGCACCGCGCTGATTCAGAGCGATTGAAAGCTGGTAGCAGAAGAATTCAACAAGTGAAACGTAGTTAAAATAATTCATAATCACAATACTGAAATTAGGCTACTGAAATGTAATTGAATAAATAATGAAAACATTTCAACATAAAACATTGCAATAAAAACATTTAGGCTACATGAACGAGGCTTTACAACTTTAACAGCGTACAGACGATAGCTCAGTGATCAACGCAACGACACGAGCTTCGAGGAGCTTCAACAGACCCGAGATCGAATCTCAATGTAGCATAGATGTTGTTAACCGATGTTGTCCTACGTTTATATTTTCCCACCTTGATGCTTAAATAGGTAACTGTTTATATCTGTTTACTTATTTAAAGTCAAGAGTTTTGTTTGATTATCATTACAACATAAATTTGCTACATTCCTGTAGAACCGCAGCCGCTGCACAAACGACAAAAACTGATGAAGATTGTCAGCCGATCAGAAAATGAAAATGAAGAAGCTCTTCTTTAGTCTGCTAAATTATTGTGTAATGTAAAAGAACACTAAAATTACTTAAGTTTGAAACCAAGTTCGAACATTTCAAGGTTTAAATTGTTTAATTTAAAACAGGGTTGCATCTTGTTTAGAGTTTATTTCTTTTGCGATGCAAAATAAGAAACACTAGGCTAATCTTATTCTTGCGACATTTTAAATTTGTATTGCCAAAGAAATTACAGCTAAATTAAACAATTAAAACAGTAGGCCTACAAAACGAAAATTGTCCAAAGAAACATAATTAAATTAAAAACATGCGTTTCTCTTTGCCTCTCTCGCGCTGGATCTCTTTTTAACAAGTTTATTTAGTCTCCCTCGCTGCGCGCGCGGGTCTCTCTCTCGAAATTAATCATTTCAGGGTAAAAACACATCATACAGCTGATAATACTGTATATGTCGCTGCGTGTCAGCCATACAAATCACGAAAAAATTATTTAACCTTTAATTGTTGCTTCAAAGACACAGCATGCCTTGTTGAATTCACCTTACAATAACTTCAATTGAAATTTTGTGTGAAAAAAAAACTTTAAATAGGCTACAATAAATAAACTACAATATTTATAATTTAATAAGATATGGGGCCTACATTTGGACACAGATTTATCCTTACAATAATTTTGCCTGCTCATCAGGCTGGCTATCCGACACTCTCCATATGAAAGAGGAACATTAACACCTTTGTCCAGCAACTGTCCCTCCAACCCCCCACAGGCTATCGGAGTCTGAGGCTGACTTAACACAAAGAGAAGTCGCAATTCACACTTAAATCGCCATTCTAGACAGTGTTGATAATGAAGGAATTAAATGATTTAAGTTACATGTAGCCTAGTGATATTTCTGTCATAAAAGTTTATTACTAAATATTTCATTATTTCAATAATTGATGAAATAAAACTGGTTTGGGGCAGCTTTTTCCAAGTAAAACTAAATATAATCTGAAAAAACGCTTGTGAATTTGTTGTCACTTAATATTAAAGTCTACAGGGATCTTTGGATCCTTACAACCAGGCATGCAATTTGTGAATTAAGTTTTTATTTTATTTTGTATTATTCAAATAAATATCGAAACACGGTGCTTCGTGGTAATGCTGCTAAATTAAATAACATTTATAGAATAATTATGAACTTAAATGAAACAATATCGCAACATTTCGACAAATACATTATTATGTTTTTACATTTTAATTCAGGGCGATTTAGCCTACATTTAATTAGAGCGAGATTTTCACCCATGTCTTGTCATTTTCTCATTGGGAAGCGCATGTTTGAGTAGATCCTCTGTACCTCTCGTTTTCATATGGATTAGCCTACATAATCAGATAACATTTATTAGCCTAAATATTTAGACATTTAAAGGCTTTAGACATAGCCGATTTCTTATCGTGACTGAGCTGAAGTGGCTTTCGGTTCATTTTTGTGACGCGCAGTTCCCGGAGACAGAGAGGACAGATATACTGTTTTTGTCGTTAGCCTAATATGAATACAAGTTTACAGTTTTGAACGATGTAAGCTACTCTACTCTTATCTGTATGACCAAAAAATTACGGAGTCGCCTATTAAGTTATTTTAGCTGTAATAATGAGATAAATAAATTAATCTAAATGAACGCGCCGCCGCGTTTGTCGAACACTAACTCACGATGCCAGAATAAAACCCGACTTTAGAAAAATGCATAGGGTCACTCGGCGTGGTGTGCCAAAACACTTAATTATAAACTTCAATATTTCATTCAAAATAATCTCAACACGCTTTGTGAAATTTTGAAAAGCCGTGCATGCATTAAGGCCACTGGAACTAATGAACAACTGAAACGCTGGTTTTGATTTTATTGTTTTTCGTTTAAAC